AAGGATTAAAACAACACAAGTTGTCATTTCCAAATATTAAATTGTATATTAATTCTTGATCGTTTGTGCACTATACACAATTGAAAAAATTTATCAGTCTCTTTTTCTTACCTATCTAATAGTCAATTGTTATAAAAAAAAATGTGACATAAGATATTCTGATATTGCAATATAATTATGGTTATAAATTGTTGCAACAAAACAAAAAGGTTTAATTAGTCAAATAATCATCTAACATTTATCTATCAAACAAAATCTCTACTATTAATTTTTGAACATCATCATCATTTTCTTAAGAAGCTTCAATAAGGAAGTGAAGTCACCATCTTTAACCATACTTTTTTTATTTGTCTCTGTATATTATAAAAGACACAACTTATTGTTAAATATAACAATAATAATTATATACAACAATAATAATTATATACATTTATTAACTTTTCATTTACATGTTATTAGTTTTGGCCATGCTCCCATCAATCTATTAGACTCTTGGTCAATTAGTTTCTTGTTTACAAGAATATGACTCATTAACATATTGGATTTAGAACTTTAGAATGCCAAGTTAAAGTAAAATGAATCTCACAAGTTGCACAACAAACACCAACAAATGTGATAGAGAATGAAACACTGGAGGTAAAAGAAACAATCCTAGAATAAACAGTGATAAAGGTTCCTGCCATCAAACTTGTAGCAGTATAAAAGTTGGTTTAACTTAATAAAATATCATAGAAATTAATGAGAACAATATTTTTTAATTATGTATATAGATGTCACACAAAAATTCTAGTGAAACATAAGAAAATGGAACATATTTCAAACTTGATTGAACCATTTGCCTTCAAGATATTACTATAAAGAGTTGCAATTTTTTCAACTTTATATTCTTGCTCATAATCAATATTAATACATGCGACCTAATAACAAATTAAGTTATTAGAAAACAAATTTAAATTTTAGAATCAAAATTAAAAAAAAAAATGTTTACACTTGTAATATATTACCTGCTTGAATGAACTTTCAAAGTTTTGAATCATAGGTAACTCCATGCAAAAAATGTTTATAAAACACTTTGATCATGGAAGACAATTGTGATACTATAACTTATCTTAAAGAACATAATTATTTTCAATCTCTTAACAGATGTATTTTCATATACACGAATTTGTAAATCAAGTCTTAACTACACGCTTAAAGAAGATAATTATCTGTCAATTGTGCTACAACATGTACATTGGGTTAAAAATGTTAGCCGCCGGTACAGCTGCACCGAAATACTTTCGGTGATTTTTTGAATTTTTAATTAGCGGCGGGTCCCACATGATAATAAAATAATATTAAAAGTTTAGGAGAAATTACGAAAATGCCATTGGGACTTTCCTATAAATAGGGAAGCTGAAAACCATAATTTTCATCCCAAATCTTCTTCTCTTCTCTCTTCCTCTCTTATACACCTTGAGATCTGTTCTCGGTAGTAGTAGTCTCCTAATAGAAAGGAGTAAGTTATAGAGAGAGAAGTGTTGTAATTTCCTCCCTTTCAGTAAATAATATTTTTACTGTGGTTATTTTCTCCCTTGTCTCTTTTTTACTCATCTCTTATTTTAGCTGTGAGTAACTATTAAGCCTACTCTGGACCTAACAAAAAATAATTGTTCTCAAGCCTTAACTCAATGCTTAAAGCCAAAACTATGATTTGCTTCTTGACTTATGCTTTCCTACATGGCTACAAGATCAAGCTAACTCACAAGCTTGAAGAAGAATAGAGAGCCACACACGCTACTATACAAAGATCATTCCATAGCCTTCAATATATATACATAGGAAAAACAGGAAATCCAATAATGAAGATGAAAGAATGCGAGAGTCCAACCAGGTAATGATTATTCCAGTAATGATTTTTTTTATTGAATTTTGCTTGAGTTGTATCTCTTTACTCTGCAGTAGATACACGAGCTATATATAGTGAGCAAAGATACAAGTCATCCCAGTATACAGATATAGCTAAAACAATGTGTCAATTGAACTAAGCTGTAAGAGAATGTGACGCTCATTCTCTTACCCAATTCACGCATGGCCGCTTGAAGGATACATGGTGGACAAACATAGAAGCGGTCAGTGTCACCACAAAATTTCAGTATAGGATCATATTATTATGAAGTAAACATCAAACAATTCTATGATATTTTGCACATTGCTTTGAGTGCTTGCAGTGCTGTTCTATCATGACCTCCCTCATGAGGACAGGACACGCCTCCTAGTCCTTCATGTTATTGGGAAGCCTCTCTTTCACATGAACCATCGACTCTGATATTACTTGTTGTGGAGATTACCACACATATATACATGTCTTCATATTGGTGAGATATTGTCCACTTTGGGTCCAAGTCTTCACAATTTTGCTTTTGGACATCACCTAAAAAGTTTTTCAACCAATCGAAACGAGTGTGTATATAAATTTATGTTCATCTTCTTATTTAAACGACGTGAGACTTTGCTTGCATTCCAATAATAAAATGAATGAATAGAGTCTACCGACTTAATTAGCTTTCTAATCAAGATCCTACCAATTCAAAGAAGAGATTAAGGAGATTGATTTCACCTCAAATTCCAATCAACAACCCATGACGAGTTATGACAAACAAATAACAGTACTCATTCTGTATGCAATTACGTCATGTTTCACTTTTTAACCTTCCTCGATGCAAAGACGACTTCACGAGCACACAAAAAGGCAATTAAAGATAACAAAAGATGTACTAGAAAGAAACAAGCATTGTGATCAGCAAAAAAAAAAAAAAAAAAAAGTAGTCTCTCGAATTAAACATGACATGCTAACGTTTTACCTCAGCGCTGGCAAAGATTAGAAACAGAACATAGAAATAAATATCGAGTTTGACAGGTATGGACAGGGACAGATCCATTTATATGGGAGTGGGGGCTAAAATTTTAATCTTTCTCATTTTTATATATATTATTATTTTCTTTTTATAATATATATATATATATATAATATTTTAATTTATTATAAAAAATATTAAATAATGACATACTAAAAATTATTTTTACAAATATTATAGATATAATATATGTCGATATATTATTAAAAGTGTAAATATAGACAATAATGACACTTTTTATATATGACTATATGTAACATTTTTTGTAATGATTATTTTTTATATCTAATATGTTAAAATATATTAATATTTTATTTTATTTTATTGTGTAATTTTTTCACTTTAGGATAAAATTGTCTTAATTTTTTTTATTCTAATATACTTATTTTTTGACCGAAAGATTTATTATTTCTTTATTCATTAAAGATGTCATAATTTAGTTTACAAATATAGGTTATTTTTCAATTTTTATTTTAGTTTTTAACCTTTTTGATATTGTATATGTACATTGTGTGTTGATAGGAGATGATCCAAATTAAGAGGAACGATGAGTAATTATCACAGAAAGCTTTTTTTTTTATTATTTAAACATATTTAATATAAAAAAAATTTACTCTTATAAAAAAATAGGTGTTGTTCTCATAAAATATTTTTGTTTTAAATGAACATAGAAACTTAGAAGACATACAAAAGAAAACAAATAGTAATTATATTATTTCTATCTTAATAATTTATACCATTTTAATCCTCTAATATTAAATAAGTCACTAAAAATTACAAAGTCACACTTACATATAATATCAGGAAAAAAAAATTGTTACTCTATTTATGAAAAAAAATTTAATTTATAAAAATAGGTATATTAAATATTTTATCACAAGAATATACTTTTTCTAAAATAATATTATAAAATATTTTATTATTTTTAGTTAACAAATTTTCTAGATCTGTCACTGGATATGGATAATATCCAATTCATTAAATCAGATACGGATTACTTAAAATTTATGTAATTTCTTACTATTTTTTTAATTTATGTCAATTAAAATTTAATTAATATAATTTTGTAATTATTATTTATGTTATAATTCTTATTTTTATATTTTTTTTATAAAAAATTAATATTTAATTAATTTTTGGATGAATACATAACGAGTATAATATATATGATATTCAACGAGTATAAAAATGGAGACAAAAATTTTATGTCCACAAGTATGTGGGCGAGATAAGTATAAGATATGAGGACGGATAGAGAGAAACTCGTGCCTATTCCATTGTTATTTGTCATAGAACATAAGAAAGTTCATTTGGAGAATCATTTAATATTATAAAAAATAATATTATAAATTAGTCATTCTTATAGAGATAAAACTTAAATTCAAGATTTTGAAATTTAAAGATTACACATAACATCAATTATTTTAATAAATATTGATAACTTTTAAATTTTTTTATTAAATAAAATATAGAGGTATAAAATATCTCACTAATCTCATTAAATATTATCTATTTTTACTAGCATTAAAATTAATAGTTAATAAATAATAAATTTTTATCGACTAATATTTATAAGTCATAATATCATGTGGTATATAATTAATTTATCAGCTATTTACTATTGTCATCTTAAAATTATCACTATAAATTAATTTTTCAGTAATGAAATCAACTGTTTTTTTTTAATATACAATTTTAGCGTTTTGATTTTAAAATGGAGAAGTTAATCTTTCTAATTTTAAAAATACATAATTTTAGTCTTTTTATTATATTAAAATTTATTAATTTTTAAGTTTTAACATTGATTTATATTTAAGTAATATGTCATTTAGTAATATTATATTTAAAAATAAAAAATTTAGAAAATGTGCAAATGAAATTTATTAATAAAATAAATATAACTATCAGTTTTAGTATTTAATTCTATAGGTATTTTTTAAATAAACTTTTCATTATGATTATTAATTTCATCTAACTTTTTAAACTAGTTTGTCAATGAATTATTGTGATATAAAAGAATAAATGGTATAGTTTTGATAGGAAATGAGAGGAAATGTGGTATAGCGAATAAAATAAGAGTACTAAGGAATGAGAATAAGGGAAATGGAAAAAGGAATGAAGGCTTTATACGATGTTTGTTTTGTGAGTGGCGAAAATTGTGTTGAAAGGAGTGGGACATTGGTGATGGAGAGAGGGAGCGGAAAGGCGAAACCCCACCGCGTGTTCTCGTACGGCACGCTCAAGAAAGGCTTCCCCAACTACGCTCTCATGGAGGGCATCCTCCGCAGCGACGACGCCGTTTCGCTCGGCACCTACTTCACCCCCCACCCCTCCCCTCTCGTCTGCGGGCCCCACGGCATCGGCTACCTCATCAACCTGCCCGGCTCGGGCCAGCGGGTGAAGGGCGAGCTCTATGCCGTCTCGGATGCCGCCGTGGCTCTGCTGGACGAGTTCGAAGGCGTCAGCGTGGGGTGTTACGAGCGCCTACCGCTGGTGGTGGAGGCGGAGAACGGTGGCCAGAGGGTGGAGGCGGAGGCGTACTGGGCACATAGGAGCGTGGGGGAAGCGTTGTGGAAGATGAAGGGAGAGGTGGGGCTTAGCGAGTACGGAGAGAAAGAAGCCCGACAGTATGTGAGGAAGGAGGACCGCCCTGGTGCCAGAAACGCTATTCTAGACCTTCTTCCTTAATCACTAACGTTTAATAATATTAATCTGCATGCCAACAAACTCTCTCCTATTACTATTTTCAACTATGTCCCTTCTTCAATGCTTCTACCCATGTTCCTGATTGAATAGCTATATATATATCTATATCTATGATATGCATGCCATTGCACCTACATATTCATTCATGTTTCATTAGATCCATTCAATCACCTTATGATACGATTTGTTAGGAAATTCAACTATGTTAAATTGCAAGTAAGATTTTGATAATTACAGTATGAACTAAAATATACAGATAGAAAAAGAAAGAGAAGATTAAATAAATGACAAATAAAAAGTGACGGGCTAGTGTGATGGCGTAAACGTTTTTACTACAACTTGGATGTTGGTATTCGTGTTGGATTAGACAATCGCCTCGAACTAACTTAAACAAGAATTTTGCACTTGCCCTGATGTTGACGACGTCAAATCCGCAAAAGGCAGCGTTGAATGGTTGATGCAACTTGCACGTTGCAACCTCCTCTGCACATGCTAGACCAAGCAAAGCCATATCTATCCATTCAAAATTGATTTTCTGAATTGTCATCATCCAATTAATCCACGACTCAATTTTCACTTGAATCCTCTTGTTGAGGAGCTGATCTTAATATAAATCTTATTGTCATCTGATTTAATAACAAAATGACACTTGTCAATAATTATACGGTACAATATTTATTCATGTGTACTCTTTTTTTCTTCTGAGGATTCGGCATTTTTTTTTATATTTTAATATATCTAAAATTAAGAATTTTCCAATTTCATTTCATTGCTCAATCACAATAATTTTTTTCTTTCAAATTTTCAAAGTTATTAAATGTTTTGTAACTAACCGCAATTAAGAATAATGTACGTCATTTATTCAAATTTAATTGTTTTTGCTCAATTTTCAACATAAAATATTTCTGCCTATATACTTTCTATTTTATGAGTGAACTGTTATGTTATTTCAATTTTCTTTTAATTTATTTTTTATTTATATATTCACTGAAATATAATATTTTCACACTTACCTTTATTCTGTCATACCAATATTCATATATATACTATATTAGCCTCTCACCCAACCATTTTTGCTAAACATTATTGTACGTTTAGCAATTCTCTTGTAGTGTGGAATATAAGCTATGGTTTAATCATTTTCAAGAATGAACAACATCTATTTGAAGCTAAACAATATACAGGTTATACTCATTTCATTATTTTTATTTATACGTAGAAACAAATTGGTGCACATTTATTGCGTTTTAGGAAGCTCGCAAAACACAATACATAATATATAGGTTAAATTCATTTTTTGTCCTTCATATTATTTATTTAGTTCAATTTAGTTATTATGTTATTAAAAGGCTTGATTTTATCTCTTAATTTTTTTTAAATGATGCAAAACATTTTTTTTATTGAAACTAACGTCATTATAATCACGTGTATAAAAATTTCCCATCATTAAATCCAATTAAATAGAAAAAATCACATTACATTAATTTTAAAAATTAAAAAACTAAATTAAACCTTTTTTAATAATTAAGAAAAACAAATTGAACTAATTAAATAAAAGGATAGACAAAAAAAATAATTTAGCTTATTTTAAAATCATAGATTTCATAACAAAACTCTCTTTAAAGAGTCTAACTTTCAATTCAAAACTAAATAATAAAAGAACGCATGTTAACACCTAAATTGAAACAGGATGGCAAAAAATTAAAATAATATAAAGTTGCTACCAATATTTATTTTTAGGAAAATATTGAAAAAATTGTCTCAAAGGAAATTAAGGTCTTTGAAACCAAATTTTAAGTTCGGCTGTCATTTACGTGTAGGTAGAATATTAACATTCTACAATATTAGTTAAAAAAATGGTTGTCTTTAATTAAATGTGTAAAATTAATACTGCTTTAAAATTATTTATTTTACCCCTTTAAAAAACTAAAATATTAATTAAGCATTTGTTTGTATATTATTTCATTCTTGAATTTTTTTATTTTTCTTAGAAGAGAGAAGAATTATTGATTTTTATAATTATCTTTTGAGTCGAGAAAGGTGGATCATTGCTCTTATGTATCATTAAGTGTAATGAGTAAATCAGACTTCGTATTTCTTTAGATAGATAAATTTGAGTTTATATTTTTAATTTTAGTTATTTTTATTCTAAGAGTTATATTTCGTTACTCATATAAGAATAGGAGATCTAAAATGGTTATCACAATCATTATTAAGTGTTCGTAATAATGATAAAAATAAAGAAGATTCAAAATGATTATTGTACTCAATTTTATCATTTAGAAGATTTTTTATTATACATTAAGGTTTTAGTGATAATCAAATATGAAGGAGATCCAAAATGATTATTGTTATATTTTATTATTTTCACAATAATCAAACAGGAATGAGATCTAAAATGATTATCACTATATTTTTATTAATACTTATTTTTGGACACAATTTAACATTTTTTTAGAAAACTCAATCACTCTAGTCAAACAAAAAGAAATCCAAAATGACTATCACACTCAATTTTGTCATTTAAAAGATTGTTTAATATATTTGACGTCATTTTATATATGGAGATTCAAAATAATTATCACTATTATTTTTCAGTAGTATTTTAATTTTTTTAAGCTATTTAATTATTTTAAAGAGAGAATTCACAATAACCAAATAAGAAAGATATTCAAAATAATTATCGATAAAACCTTAAATCGTTACAATAACTACATAAAAAGAAGATCCAAAATAGTTATCACTTATATTCATTACTAACAAATATTTTGTAAAATTAATCTTATATACATAATATTATATATCATCAAATTAGTTTATTGATTAATATAAAAGAGAAAGAAAGCCTTAATCCCAAAACCAAACATGTTAGGAATTAGTAATATATAGAAATTCATTTTATTCTGTTTATATTATAAACTTATTAATACTAAATAATAAAATCACATTTTCATCTCCAGGAGACCTAACCTGTGCAACACATAGTTTCGAAATCAAATGTCATGACTAAAGCAATAAAAACTGTTCTTACCGGAATTTGTCGTAGGGATGATCTTCCAAGTAAGATTGGTGAGCCTCCTTCACTGGTACACTGATGCTCCAAGATGGGGGTGGTACCTGCAAAAGAGACTCTGATGCTAATGTTAGGGTTTGTATGAGTAATAGTCTCGTATAAGTAATGCACGTACCTTGGAGTGAATTAGGGTTGCTTTGGGCTCTGGGCCTGAGATAAGATATGATAGCGGATCTCGTCTAGGACGAGATCTTCGGTAATCAGTGATTAGATAATGGATCTCGTATGGGCGAGATTCTCGGGAATCAGTTGTGATTCACTTGAATGCCGAGCTGACGTCGTATGACGCGTGCCCGAGATCATCTGGTACTGTGATGTCGAGCTTGGAGCTCGGCTTCGCGGTACGGTCAGTACAAAAACCAACATTTTACGAATCCAAAACAATAAATAAATAAACCTATGCAATAGTTAAAATTCATGAACCCAATTGTTTATAATGCTGCAATGTTAACAAAGGTCCTATATTAACCCAAGAAACATGTTGGATATATACATATTTGCACACGGTTAACAGAAATTTATATTTAGTGACGGTTAAATACCTCTTTTGGTCCCTTATAATGTTTTTTTGTTTCAATTTAGTCTCACTTTAATTTTTTGTCTCAATTTGGTCCCCAATAACTTAAACTAGTGCAATTTGAGACTTCCGTCCAAATGATTTAGACGAAATTAACTGTTGGCCACGTGGCATCTACGTGGATGCCACATGGATGCGCACGTGGACACCAAAATTCTGGAAAAAACCTGAAACCAGAACGGCCCGTTCTAAAACCAAAACTGGCCGTTCTGCTTTTAGAACGGGACGTTCTACTTTTAGAACGGGACGTTTTGAATTCAGAACGGGCCATGCTTTTTATTGTATTTTTTTTATTATATCTATATTAATAAATATATAATAAATAAAAAATACAATAAATTAATATTCATTTATGAATAAATCTAAAAAAAAATCAAATAAGATAAGACCTTCCAAAATATTTTTTTGATTTGAATTTATCCAGTTCAAAATCTTGACTAAAATGCCGCAATGTATTTCAAAAATTGAAAATAAAATTCAGGGTTTAGGGGTACCTCCTCAAGAACAGGTTGTTATTGTTGGGGTACATCGTCAATGACTTCAAGGAAAAACACTGTTTCGTTTTATCCTTGACTGTATAGTGTCAATTTGGTACATCATCGTTAATGATATACTGTATAGCCCAAATGTTTAGCAATTGAAGTTATTAATCCTCATTAACAATATTACCAAATCTAGTGTTTGAAATGCTTTGTATTTTAGTTTTTTTTGCACGAAATTCTGAACCAGAATGGGCCGTTCTGGTTCCAGGTGTATTCAAGTATTTTTTGATCAACCTACGTGGTATCTACGTGGCATCCACGTAGCCACCAGTTAACTCCGTTTAAATCATTTAGACGGAAGTCCCAAATTGGAACGATTTAAATTATTGGGGACCAAATTGAGAACTAAAATTAAAGTGAAACTAAATTGAAACAAAAAAATATTGTAAGGGACCAAAAGAGATATTTATCCATTTAGTGACCAACTATATACGAAGAAGGCAAAAGTAAGACTACAATATGTGATCATAAAGTCACACATGAAGTAAATATATACGAGGTTATGGAGTAGTAACTAACCACAAAATACAAGCACAATGTTAACAATTAACTTATTCACATAAAACATTGAACAGTTACATAATCAACAAATGTAAAATAAGTAAACTGGACTTAAGCATAATATACAGGGATAAGAGGCAAACCAAGTTTGAATGTAGGCGAATCTGGTAATTAGTTTTTTTTTTGTTTTTCACAACCCAAAAGTAGTGTAAAATAAGTCATGCCAAGGTTTGAATCAACAATGGTCGCACTTGGGCCAACATGAGTCGCGGATGGTGGTTAGACAGGCATAGCTTCTCCTCCCTTGTTTCACTGATTTCCTTATTTATTCTCCTCCATGATCTCTTAAGATTTCCATTTAATTTTCATATTTTTTTAACTCCTTTTCATTCTTTTGTTTCACTATATCAAAATTGTTGGCTTTTTTCATTGCTTATATAGTGGATTGAGGACTTCTTTGTAACTCCTTTTGATCAAAGGATTGAGAGCGGAATAATGGTTTACTTGCATGTTACTGTAAATCTCAAAGATGACATTGAATGTGGCAGCCTAGCTAGCTACCTAGGCTCTCTTGCAATGTAACTTCTTTCGAACGCAATCTTGGTTTCTTTTCTCTTTTAATTTTATTTTATTTTTATTTTTTTTAATTAAAAATGGGCTTAAGACAATCCAATAAAAACAATAAAAGAAAATGGGCATAGACCTAATTTGCTCATCATAACTAATCATCAAATAAATAACAAAAAAAAATTATGTGGTATTCACAATTATTTCAAATTTTAGTATTTTTCGGAAGAAATTTGGTTATTGCAATGCATAAGTGTTTGATTGTATGCATCAAAAATATATGTCAAACTACGGATCATGAAAAGTTAAAATCAACTTTAATTGCCATATCATATTAATATTAACATTTTATTTTTTTATTAATTAATATTTTCAAAATTAAAAATAATTTTTGATTCATTTATATATTAAAAATACCCCCATACATAATTTGTCATGTGCATCTCCCAAGTCCACGCACTAATTTTATTAATACTTATGCTATATCTGGGTGGGAAGAAAAAAAATAAGAATAAGAATACTTTTTTTTCATATTTGGTTAGAAAAAATTCAATTTTTAAAAATAAAAATTCAAATTTTGTTTTCTTTTACTTTTTCCGTCTTCGATTTAAAGTTCAATTTTCCCCCTACTCTGAACTAAACATAGGGTTAATTAAAGTTTATATTTTTAATAAACAAATTTACTTTTTTATGATTTCTACATTGTATTTGAAATTTTTAGCAAATAATTATTCCGAAAAAAATTAATATTATGAAAAAGTTCTAAAGATCAAATTCATCCATTATATCAACCGATTTAATTATGGATATACATTTCAACATAGTTGCTCGAAATTAACAAAGTCACGCCGAACTTACTTAGTCATGTTTAAACTAACCAAATCACATTTAGATTAAGATAGTTACAATTTGGCAATTCACTCCGTTACAAACTATTGACGTAGGATACATTTTTCTTTCTCTTGCCTATCACCATGATTGATATAAATAAGGATTCATGTCATAGGCTGGATCATGCTTTCTATCGATTCATGTTGTTACTCTAGTAACTCTACTCATTCTCTTAATGATTTGGGCGTTTAAATGTTTTGCAGGTGGTTTCCATTGTGGACACTCAATCAAATGATCATCATCATGCAAGAATCGATACTTGGGCTAACTTTTGTATTCTCCATCAGAACATTGGTCTCATCTATGGAAAATAATTTTTTTTCCTTCTTTTCTAGGATGTTGAATACGTGTAGCCACCAAATCACTGGTTTTGAAACACTCCTCTTCCAGAGGACGGATACATATCTAATTTTAAAAAAATAAATAAATAAATAAATAAAAATAAAAAAAGTGGATCATATCAGCTGTCCCAAATGTTCATTATTCAGTAATTAACATTTCATTTGCGAATTTAGTCTATTATCTCAACTACAAACTAATACTGATCACACCCTTTATTACCAATCAAACATAATACCGATGACAGAACATTTTCATTTCCGTTATTACTGATCAGTGATCACACATGATTGTGATGATATCATAAATATGCAGTTGATGGACTTGTCCTGAATCATTTATCTTTAACAGTACAAGAACACTGTCCAGCGCATTCAGCAAAGCCCTTGCCAGAGCCTGCGTCAGGGCCTTCAGTCCTGAAAATAACGCAACTCCACCCTTCACCACACTTGCAAAATGCTCCCTTGCCACTGCTACCCACAACATCAGGGGGCAAATTTATTTCTTTGGACACTGCTTCTCCTTCACTGCACCACAATTATTTTAACAACGTATTGCTGTTCAGTACTTTGCAAAATAATTAGATGTAGCTAGCTAGCCGCGATGGTATAATTTTAGAGAAATGATCATATATTTTACGTTTGAATGACTCTTTTCAGGATACGTATGTTGGATTTTCTAGACAATTAATTAGAAAGGACAAACAGCTGAAAAAACAGAACCAATTTTTTTATTTTATTTAAAAATAAAAATAGTAATAATTGAAGTTAAAAGAAAAAACATCTTGCGAAATGAAAGAACCGTGAAAGGCTTTAATGTGTAAAGCAGTTCATTTTGATTGGTAAAGAAATAAAGAAAAAAGAGTACTTATATTTTCTTTGAAGAAGATTACATCTTTACAGTTAATTAAAGATATAGTTACCTAAAAAAATGAAAAGCAAATAGGGATATCTTCTATATATATTATTATAATTATAATCAATTCCAATAATCAATATTTAATTTGTAGACTTCAATAAGTATAAGTCATGAGTGGTTTGTTTGACATACATGGTACAGGTGCAATTTTCACCACATTTAACAAAAACTTTGCCTGCATCAGGCCCCTCAGTCTTAGTTATGATACATGTCCAACCCTCACTCATCTTGCAGAACGCGCTGCCCTTGCCCAAGCCCAAGCCCAAGGTTTTATCTGCAGCTGAGACTTCCCTACAGAAAGAGTTGATAAGCATAGTTATACCTTAGCATAAGGATAATTTTTCTGGGCGATTTTATTCTGATTTTAGATATAAGATCGTAGTATATATCAATCATATATTTCATAGATGTTTGAAAATGGAACAACAATATAATTGGCACCACAAGTTATTGAAATTAATTAAAAAAATATAGAGAAATGAAATAAAGGTGATTAGTAAAGTAATAGATGGTACAGAATAAAAACCAATTATAGACTTTCGAAACCTGAGACACTCCTGCTCTTGGGGGGACTCCATATTCTCTTAGTGATAAGAAATTCATTTTAATTTGTATGAGGAATTACTCGGGAACGACGTAGAACATTAGAAAGTCAATAGTATCCTCCATACTCAATAATTGAAGCATGTTTAAGGTTGGGCTATGTTGTCCATAAATACTGACATTAAAAATATCAACACTGCGGTCTATATCATTTACCCAGCACCCTCCAATTTTGTGAACCCTATCCGTACTAGGAAAGAACATAAATGATACTAAACATTTTTTTTAATATATTTTACATTATTGGATTTTTTTTTTGGTATGTTTTATTAAGATATCCGACGTAGTCCATTTCTGTGAGTCTATAGGGAAAATAATTAAAATAATACTTGCTGTATATTTTCTTTAATATATTTAATATTTTGCATTGTGGAATGAGTTTTATGAAAAAAATTGTTAACAATATCCAGTGGCATGGCATCCATTTAAAAAAGGGACACGTGAAAACATTATGAAATGTGCTATTTATTTATTTATTTTGCACCAAATGTGTTACTGTTATTCTTTTGCTTTTTAAATGAAAAACTGTTTCCCTAGAGTTGGGGCTCTTGTACAGAAATGGGCCTAAAAGGTCCAAGGCCCAGAAGTTACAAATGCCCTTACACCATAACTATTTAATTATCATGCCTACACTTCACAGTTAAGAAACTTTTAGAATCCTATATATCAAATCGATATATGCCAACCAGACGTTATTTTAAATGGACCGAACTTGATTCCATTAAATAAGATTTTGGATTGGGACTATGTAGGTGGAAAAAATATAGTTAAAAAGAGATGTATTATAAGTTCATACCAATATGAAAATGTGTATATAAATTTTCTGCTCTCAACAATATATTCGTCTAACAATAATAAAATAAGTTTATAATACATTTACAAGGAAGTTTTTAGATTGAACTCATTTTGAGAGTCTTAAATTTGATGAAATATTATTTAATCTTTTGCTAGCTGAATTGATGGATCGATTATTATCGTTCTTTCTTTTTTTCTTTTTTCTTTTTTTTTTAGGATCGCACATGTTGAATAAAATATCTATATACATCATAATACCGGTGATGGGAGGAAGAGAGCATATTAAACAGAAAATGGGAAGCACTGTACTAAGGAAGTAGTGGGTAATTTTAGTGGATAGTTTAGGGAATAGATGGAAGAAAAAATAGTATTGACAAAAATCAAATTATGGGTAAAAATAAAAGTAACTAAATAATTAATATACTTATATAATATATACAGAAATTATTAAAAATAAAATTCATAAGTAACAATTAACCCATTTTTAGTTTTTAAAGATATAAATTTAAAAATCATAAATTATATATATATA